CTGAACAGGAGAGAGAAAGTGAGAAATCAGCCCCTGGGGTGGACGGCCACACTGCATTCTCTTCTCCATCCTCCTCTCGGAATTCTAAGTACTCACGCACACACGCTTGGTGTGTTTCTCAGTCTGTTGGGTCTAGGACTTGGAACACGCTCTGTGTGATCCAGCCACCTTAACCACCGTGCCACTGGCTAACCCTTAGTTTTCTTCTTATACTTCCTTCCATGAAAATAAACTGATATGGAAGCTTTATTGTTTTAAGTAACCATGAAAGTAACCATAGCATAAAATCTTTTGATTTAAATGTGTGCTTCCATATATTGTGTTCACATATTTGACTCTTCTGTCAGGTTATACATTTGATAATCTTGTATTTTGTAACTTTCAAATTATTATACCTAAACAGTGTGTTAGTTTTTCCATTTGTAACATTAATATCCATATATATTTTATATTAAAAGTTTATTGTAACTAGGTCAGCCCTGTAGTAGAGTGGTGAAGCTCTGCGTATGGAAAGCCGGTTTCTACTGGCCAACCGTGGTTCAAATCCTGGACACACGTGCATGTACACCCAAAATCCTGATGATATGGAGAAGGAAAAGGATTGTGACATAACCAGGCTCCACTGGAGAGGGTTCTCTTTCTCTTGTTTTCTCTAGAGAAAGCACATGTCTTCTGGCAAAAGAAAAAAAGGAAGAAAATTTGGTATAACTAACAGTATGACTTCAGTCATTCTTTAGTACTTCAAAAAATTTGTAACGGGCATTTGATGAGGCCGTTCGTCACTGGCTTGGCATTTGAGGATATCTGAGTTTTAGCATATTTTAGATGACCTATGAGGAAAGTTTATTAACAAAAGTCAGATAATTAAGCAGCAGTGCTTAATGACGATTTACTACGTGTCGAAACCTATAGCGGACATTGTAGGAGGTGACGAAAGGCAAGCAAACATGACATACGGCTTTATGTCACGTGCCTAGGTTTGTGGGGAGTCACTAGGTATGCATGCAAGATGATCAGATAACGATTTCTATGTTAGAAGTGCTTTTATAATGGTCATATTTTGTGAAAGATTTTTGTTGGCTTTTTTTAGGGTTTTGCTATCAGGCATGTGACAGAGAGAGACAGTGAGAGGGAAAGTGAGAAATCACTCCCCAGTGGGGATGGCCACACCACAATCCATTTTCCTCCTGGGATTTTGGGCATGCACTCACATGCACCCAGCATGAATTTTCAAGCTGCCAGATCTGGGACTTGAACCACAATCTGCCATTTGGGAGTTCAGTGCCTTAGCCACCATGCCACCTGCTGGCCCCTTTATGAAAGTTTTTATAAACAGTTTAATTGTATTGTAATTTATGTACTATACAATTTATCCATTTAAAGTGTATTGGTCATCCATTCGAAGTACACAACTTCCTGGGTTTTGTATATCTAAGTTGTTCAGCTACCACTGCAATCTATGTTAGAACATTGTCATCACCCCCTGAAGAAGCCTACTACCCGGGAGCAGTCAGTCCCTCCCAGTTCCCCATAACCCCTTTCCTCCAAGGCAATCACTGATCTTTTTTTCCATCCCTATAAATTTTCATCTTCTGGACATTTCATATAAATGGAATAATATGATATTTGTTCTTTTGCGATTGGCTACTTTCACTTAGCATGATATTTTCAAGGTTCACTCATGGTATAGCAGTATTAGTATTTCATTCCTTTTTGCTCCTAAATGATATTCTGTTGTTGATGTACCAGTTTTTGTTTACTCATCAGCTGATATACATTTGGGTTGTTCCTGCTTTTTGACTGTCATGATTAATGCTGCTCCGAATATTTGTATACAGGTGTTTGTGCAGAGTTAATTTTTGTTTCTCTAGAGTATATACCTAGGATTGGAATTGCTGGGTCATGTAATCCTGTTTAACATTTTGAGGAACTGCCAAACCATTTCCAAAGCAGCCATATTCCAGTTCCACCAGCAATATTATGAGGGTTCCAGTTTCTACACACCATTTGCCACGTGTTATTATCTGTCTCTGTTTTTTGTCATCCTTGGCACTTGTCAAGTGCTATTTTATTGTGGTTTTGATTCACATTTCCCTAATACCTAATGATATAGAGCATATTTTTATGGGCTTATTGACTAGTAGTGTGTATGTGTGTATATATATATATTTTTTTCTTTTTTTAAGAAGTTGTTTCTTCAGAATCTTTGTCCTTTTTTTTTTTTTTTTTTTTGAAAGTCTTTTCTACAAGGGGGGTTACGTTCTCACCAAAGACCTATAGGGCGTGTATGCTCACCAGAAAGACAGAGAGAGAGAGAGAGACAGAAAGCGAGAAATCACCCCCCAGGGGGGATGGCCACGCCGCAATCCCTTCTCCTCCGTTTTCCTCTCGGAATCTTGGGCACGCATGCACACACACCTGGCATGAGTTTAAGCCACCGAGTCTGGGACTCGAACTGCGGTCAACTACGTGGGAGTCCAGCGACATAGCCATTATGCTAACTGCTGGTCCCCCCGTTTTTATTTTTTATTTTTTGGGAGGAGAGGTTTTTGCTATAGGGCGCGTGCGCTCGCCAGACAGACAGAGAGAGGCATAGAGACAGAAAGCGAGAAATCACCCCCCAGGGGGGATGGCCACGCCGCAATCCCTTCTCCTCCATTCTCCTCTCAGGATCTTGGGCACGCATGCACACGCGCCTGGCGTGAGTTTTAAGCCACCAGGTCCGGGATGCAAACCGCGGTCGACTACATGGGAGTCCAGCGACATAGCCATTACGCTAACGGCTGGTTCCCTGGTCCCCCATTTTTAAAAATGAATTATTTATCTTTTTTATTATTGAATTAGAATTCCCAATATATTCTGATACAAGTTCCTTATCAGATAATGATTTGCAGATACTTTCTCTCATTCTGTGGATTGTATTTACACACTTTCTTGATGATTTTATTTGTAATACAGAAATTTTAAATTTTGATACAAGTTTAATTTGTCTATTTTTTCTTTTGCTTATACTGTTGGTATCTAAGAAGGACCTAGCCTAGCATTACAGAGATTTCTGTATCATCTTCTAATAGTTTTAAAGTCTTATATTTTGGTTTCTGATCTATTTGAGTTGTTTACTTGTGATATGAGGACGAGATCTAGTCCTTTTTTGTTGCTGCTGTCATTTTTTGCTATGTGAATATGCAATTGTCTTGGCATCATTTGTTAAACAACCCGTTTTGGAGGCAGTTGGTGGAATGGTGGTTGGGGCAGCTGGATCCCACATGGCCAACTGCACAGTTCCAATTCCAGATCCGGGGGCTTGAAAAGCATGTGGCTGCATGTGTGTGAGTACCCAAAGAACCAAAGGAAGGAGAAATTGAGGAGAGGGGACTGTGGCATGGTCATGCCCCACCCTACATGGGGGAAGGGGGAAAGAGATCCTTTCTCCCTTTCCTTCTCTCTCCCTGGCAAGTGCACAGTGCCCTCTAGTACATTTAAAACAAACAAACAAACAAAAACTCTTCTTTTCCCATTTAATTACTTTGGCACCCTTGTCAAAAATTGATCATAATTGTGAGAGTTTGTTTCTGGACTTTCAATTTTGTTCCAATAATCTCTATCTCTGTTTTGGTACCAATATCATTCTGACCTCATGGAATGAGTTAAAAAGTGTTCCTTACTCTTCTACATTTTAGAAGTGTTTAAGAATTGGTATTAATTCTTTCTTTAAAAATTATTTAGTTTTATTCATCATTGTTGTTTTTTAATTTGACCAGAAAGAGAAAGTGAGAAAGCAAGGCACCAGATCCAGGGACTCAAACTGTGGTCAGCCGTGTGGGAGTCCAGAGCCTTAACCACCACACCCTCTGCCTGCCTTGGTATCTAAGTGTTTGGCAGGAGCTAGCCTTGTGACTAGTGGCTAAGTGAGCTGGATCCCACATGGTTGATTACATGATTTGAATCCTGCAGCTAGCACTTGAAAAACATGCTGGGCGCGTTTGTGTATAAACTGCAGATCTGGACCAGTCTGAAAAATGAAGAAGGGATTATGGTATAACCGTGCCCCATTGGGGGTTGCTTTTTCCCTCTCTCTATCTCAGTCTCTCTCTCTTTCTCTTGTGAGCACATATACTCTCTGGCAAAATTTTTTAAATAAAAATAAATGTTTAGTAGTATTCATCAGTGAGGCCATCTGGGCCTAGCTTGAAACTTTATAGTTAAAAATTCAGTCTCTCTACTTGTTATTAACAAGTCTTTTCCAAATTTTCTTCTTGAGTCAATGTCAGTAACTTTCTAAGAATTTGTTCATTTTTATCTAATTTGTTTGTAGTATTTCCTCAAAATCTATTTTATATCTTTAGGCTTAATAGTGATATATCATCTTTAATTCTGGATTTTAATCATTTAAACCACTTTTCTTGGTCAGTCTAGATAAGATTTGTTAATTGTTTGGATCTTCCTAAAGAGCCACCTTTTGATTTTCATTTCTCTAATGGCTTTCTAGTCTATATTTTATGAATTTCCACTCTAGTCTTTATTGTTTTCTTTCTTCTGATTGCTTTAGATTTATTTTGCTCTTTTCCCATTTTCTTCAGGTAGATAGTTAGGTTATGTTGTATCTATTTGTTCAACCTAACCTTTAATCATTGGGAAATGTCTCTCTTTATCGATAATAGGATTACTTGTTTTAAAATCTGCTTTTTCAGTGGCTTGGTGCTTATTAAGGCACTGAACTCCCACATGACCAACCACCATTCCAGTTCCAGACTCAGTGGCTTGAAAATCACACTGCACACATGTGCAAGCATGCACAAAATCCCAGGAGGAGAGCGAAGGAGAAGGGATTGCAATGTGGCCATCCTCCAGGGGGGAGATTTCTCACTTTCCCACTCACTGGCTCTCTGTCTCTCTCTGGCAAGTGCACACACCCTATGGCAAAATCTAAAAACAAACAAACAAAAACCAACTGCTTTTTCTGGTATTATTAAAGGTGTAGGGACCAGCAGATGGCATAATGGTTACATAGCTGAACTTCCACATGGCTGACTAATGTTCAAGTCCCGGACCTGGAGGCTTAAAACATGCCAGGCATGTATGTGTGTGTGCCCAAGATCCCGAGAGGATCCCAAGAGGAGAATGGAGAAGGGATTATGGTGTGGCCATATCCCCCCTGGGGGGAGGGAGAGGTGATTTCTCACTCTCTGTCTTTCTCTCCTTGTCTCCGGTAAGCATATGTGCCCTATATCAAAAAGCTCTCAAAAAAAACAAAAACAAAAACAAAAAAAGTGTGCCACTGATTTTTTTATTAATTTTGCATGGTTTATATTTTTCCATACTTTTACATTCAACCTCTCTTATATTTAAAGTGTTCCACTTACATGCAGCATATATATAGTTGGTTTTATTAGCCAGTCTTAAACTCTTCATCTTTTTTATTGAAATATTTAGTTCATTTACATTTAATGTTATTATTAATATATTTGGATTTGAACCTATCATTTGTGTGCACGTTGAGCATGCCAAATTTGAAATTTGAAATACTCCAAAATTCAAAACTGTTTTAAGCATCAACATGACACGAGTGGTATCACAGTGTGTGGTAACTTTTTTTTTTTTTTTGAGAGATTTTTGCTACAGGGCATGTGCGCTCGCCAGGAAGATAGAGGGAGACAGAGACAGAAACTGAAAAATCACCTCCCGGGAGGACGGCCGTGACGCAGTCCCTTCTCTTCCATTTTCCTCTCTGGATCTTGGGCACACACGCACATGCTCCTGGCCTGAGTTTAAGTCACTGGGTCCAGGACTTGAACTGCAATCGACTACATGGGAGTCCAGTGACATAGCCATTAAGCCAACTGCTGATCCCAGTATGGTAACTTTTTAATCAAAATATCAATATGTCATATTTTTTACTGTTAAGCACTTATGAGTGAATAAGTGCAAGAAAAATGATTGCATGTCAGTAATACATAAATTTGAAGTGAAGAACGATGATGATGCCAGACAAGCACAAGTTGCCCACAGCGGTGGCTGAGAGGATGACACTACTTTCTGATGGTTTGGTGTACACAAACTTTTTGTTCTTCCACAAAATTATTTTAAAATATTGTGTAAAATTATGTTCAGACTGTACCTAAGTTGTACATGTATCGTAAGTGAATTTCATTCCCTGGATATCTCATTATGTATACACAAATATTCCAAAATTTAAAAAAATAATAATTGGAGGAGACTAGATGGTGTAATGGTTACATTACTGGACCACCGCATAGTCAACCATGGTTCAGTCCCGGACCTGGCCATGTAAAACTCATGCCAGGAGCATGTACATGCATATCCAAAATCCCAAGAGAAGAATGGAGAAGAAGCGATTGCAGTGTGGCCAATCCCCCCTGGGGGTGATTTCTCACCTTCTGTTTTTTCTTGTCTCTCTGTCTCTCCAGCAACCACACATGCCCCTGTGAAAATCTTTCAGAAAATATCTGGAATATAGAACAATTCTAATCCCAATCAATTTCACAGGAGGAGTATTCAGCCTGTATTTTTCTTTTAGTTTTTTCATTATTCCTTTTTTTTAAAATTTTAATTTATTGAGTCCCCAAATGCCCCAAACATTATTTCAACATGTAATAAATATAAACAAAATTGTTACTGGAATATTTTGTGTTCTTTTTCTCATGGTGCATCTCTGCAATCCAGTGTTTACTTCACACGTGCAGCACAGTTCCGGTCAGAGGTGCAGCGCTTCCCAGGCTCAGGGCTCCCAGCGCCCATCACGGCACATCCAGGCAGCGGGGCTGGTACCAGGCAGTGACCTGGCCAGGCTTTGGAAAGGGATGACAGGGCCAGCAGGGCCCCACCTGAACTCCCCTGCCAAACAGTGCCCAGCCTTGGGCTTCTCACCCATCCTGGGGCTTGCTTGAGATGGGCAGGGAAAGAAAAAACACCCCCCCCCCACAAAGCGGACTGCCCCCCCCAAGACTGCTTTGCCTCCTCATTTAAAAAAAAAAAAAAACCTGAGGGTCAGCCTTTTTTTCCCTTCTTTAAAACTCAAGTCTTTTTACATTTTAATTTTCTCCTTAATTAGATCTTTAGTAATATGGCTTTTACTTTTTTCTGTTTCCCTGAAGATTACATGAATTTTTTTAAGTTATTAGAAATAATCTTAATATCTTTAATTTTCCCCAGATAATACAGGATTTTAAGGACTTTAACCCTGTTTATTCCCTTTTTTTTTCTGTGCAATTATTGTCATATACTTTAGTCACATATATTTTGAATCTCACATTATTACTGTTATTTTGTTGATAATTAATATTTAGATTTCCCCACATCTTTTACCTTTCTGGTTTATTTTATTCATTTCTGCATTATTGTGCTTCCATTTGGGTTATACTTCTTCTGCGTGAGGCATTCCCTTTAGTAGAGTTCTTTTAGTCAAGTTCTGTTGATGTCTATTTCAATTTCATTTGTGAAGCACAGTTTTTTGTTGCATATTAAGATTTCAGGGTTGATTATTTTGAATATGTTGAAGATATGTTATTGCTATCTGGTTTTCATTGATTCTGTTGAGCTGTTAGAGGACAACCCAACTGTTAATCCTTAAAAAGTAGTGGATCCTTGTTTCTTTCACTGCTCATACGATTTCCTCTTTTTCTTTGACTTTATCAGCAGTTACACTCTGATATGTCAATGTGGTTTTCTAAAATTGTGTTTATTATACTAGCAAATTCTCCATCATTTCATCAGTTTTGTTGGACACATTAATTGTAGAAATTCTTCCTCTAAAAACCTGCAGTATGTAGTCACTGGTGGGTCTGCCTCCTTTGCTGTTGTTTCTCTTGGCTTCCAATTACCAGGCCCTGCTGGAGTGCTGGCTATTATGTGTGAGGAGTGTAGAGGCGCTGACTGATATCTTTCTCCAGAAAGGACTTCATGGTCTTCTGAAAGACAAATTACAATATGGGCAGATGATTCTGGATCACTTGGGGGACCCACATTCCAATTTTTCTCTCCCTAGCACCATATGAGACAACTAAAATATCTACTTACTATTTTAGCCTCCTAGCAGCTGGTTTTTGCTTTACGACACCCCTTCTTGCTCTGCACACATGCATTTTAGGAATGGCAAATGCTTTGACAGGAATATCATGAAGAATAGTGGCCCCATTCCTCAGTGCGTTTTCTCTGATCCATCTGTGCTGACTGCCTCCGTGTCCTGAGCTCGGTTTTAGTCTTCCCATTGTATTGTCACTGCCACAGCACAGTGCTGGGTAGCCAGTCTGATTAGCCTGATGCCTCACTGCGAGAGCTGAGAGGCATCCTCACGGGAAGACAGTGACAGCGAAGGTCACTTCACCTCACTGTCCGTTTCTTCTTGGCATCTTGGCCTCTGGTTTTTATTGACTCGTTTGCTCTTTGTTGCTTTAAAACATCTGAGAGCTTTTATTTGTTTTTGGTTTGTTTGTTTGTTTTATTTTATTCAGCTCTCATATTTGTTCTCAGCAGAACTGGGTCTAGTACAAGCTGCTTCCTCACTGTTGGAAGTATAAGCCTCCATCTGATGAGTTTCACATTGTTTCTTGAAGTGTATGACGTTAATTGCCGTATGTTTCATTCTGTAGGATGCAGTGTCAGCCTTACTTGCAAGAACATCCGCTGAGCTGTTGGCTGTGGAAAAAGAATTAGCACAAGAAGAAGAGGAGGAGGAACCAGAACGAGAGGGAGAGCAAAGGGGTCCAGAAGGAGATTGGTAAAACAATTACTTCTTTTTGCTTCTCTCTCTCTTTCTCTTCTTTCTTTCTTAATTATACTTCTTCTGCGTGAGGCATTCCCTTTAGTAGAGTTCTTTTAGTCAAGTTCTGTTGATGTCTATTTCAATTTCATTTGTGAAGCACAGTTTTTTGTTGCATATTAAGATTTCAGGGTTGATTATTTTGAATATGTTGAAGATATGTTATTGCTATCTGGTTTTCATTGATTCTGTTGAGCTGTTAGAGGACAACCCAACTGTTAATCCTTAAAAAGTAGTGGATCCTTGTTTCTTTCACTGCTCATACGATTTCCTCTTTTTCTTTGACTTTATCAGCAGTTACACTCTGATATGTCAATGTGGTTTTCTAAAATTGTGTTTATTATACTAGCAAATTCTCCATCATTTCATCAGTTTTGTTGGACACATTAATTGTAGAAATTCTTCCTCTAAAAACCTGCAGTATGTAGTCACTGGTGGGTCTGCCTCCTTTGCTGTTGTTTCTCTTGGCTTCCAATTACCAGGCCCTGCTGGAGTGCTGGCTATTATGTGTGAGGAGTGTAGAGGCGCTGACTGATATCTTTCTCCAGAAAGGACTTCATGGTCTTCTGAAAGACAAATTACAATATGGGCAGATGATTCTGGATCACTTGGGGGACCCACATTCCAATTTTTCTCTCCCTAGCACCATATGAGACAACTAAAATATCTACTTACTATTTTAGCCTCCTAGCAGCTGGTTTTTGCTTTACGACACCCCTTCTTGCTCTGCACACATGCATTTTAGGAATGGCAAATGCTTTGACAGGAATATCATGAAGAATAGTGGCCCCATTCCTCAGTGCGTTTTCTCTGATCCATCTGTGCTGACTGCCTCCGTGTCCTGAGCTCGGTTTTAGTCTTCCCATTGTATTGTCACTGCCACAGCACAGTGCTGGGTAGCCAGTCTGATTAGCCTGATGCCTCACTGCGAGAGCTGAGAGGCATCCTCACGGGAAGACAGTGACAGCGAAGGTCACTTCACCTCACTGTCCGTTTCTTCTTGGCATCTTGGCCTCTGGTTTTTATTGACTCGTTTGCTCTTTGTTGCTTTAAAACATCTGAGAGCTTTTATTTGTTTTTGGTTTGTTTGTTTGTTTTATTTTATTCAGCTCTCATATTTGTTCTCAGCAGAACTGGGTCTAGTACAAGCTGCTTCCTCACTGTTGGAAGTATAAGCCTCCATCTGATGAGTTTCACATTGTTTCTTGAAGTGTATGACGTTAATTGCCGTATGTTTCATTCTGTAGGATGCAGTGTCAGCCTTACTTGCAAGAACATCCGCTGAGCTGTTGGCTGTGGAAAAAGAATTAGCACAAGAAGAAGAGGAGGAGGAACCAGAACGAGAGGGAGAGCAAAGGGGTCCAGAAGGAGATTGGTAAAACAATTACTTCTTTTTGCTTCTCTCTCTCTTTCTCTTCTTTCTTTCTTAATTTATTTTTCCCATGAGCAAGAGAGAGAGAGCACTCCCAACAGGATCTCAGCCCATGGTTTACTCTCAGCCTTGGCCCCCCCAGATTCTAAGCTACATGTGTTTCCAGCTTGCTCAGGTCTCTTGACATGAACCCGGAACTTTCTCACCTGCGTCAGCCTTGAAGAGTATCTTGTGTTACCATTGCACTACCATCAGGCTCCCAGGATTTTTTTATTTTAATAATTGTTTATGTAATTTCATTTATTATTATTATTTTTTTTAATTTGACCAGAGAGGGACAGAGAAAGGGGAAGTGAGAAAGCAAGCAACCAGGTTGGAGACTTGAACCATGGTCTGCCATGTGAAAACCCAGAGCCTTAACCACCACACCACCTGCTGGTCCCTGGGTTGTTTTCTTATAAGAAACTTCTAGTGAAACCTTTGTAGGTTTGTATCTTATTCTGAACTTACGGAAAGCAATTTGGCTTCAAGGAACTATGACCAAGGCAAGTCTCTCCTTGGTCCTTAGAGAGTTGAAGAAGATAATGGCAAGAATATGGGCAATTTTAATAGCTGGGAATTATGTCAGATTCATGAGTTTAACTTTTTAGTACCTCATTTATGATTTTGCTGCACATTCCTTGTAGGTTAAGTAAGAATTTTTTCTTTTATGAGAAATTTTGTTTAAAGCTCCAGCCAAAGCAGCGGCTTGAGTGTGTGTTTGTCGATTGGTTTCCCACATCTTGGGTTAACGTGCTCAGATTGTGTGGTCATACATCACACCTGCTGACCTACAGTGTGCTTTGTTCTTGTGTTGTTTCACTGTAGGTTAACAATGCTGAGAGAGGCCTCAGACGAAATTGTGGCTGAAAAAGATACTGAAGTTCAGTTGCCAGAGGACACTAGCTGCACAGAAGACTTGAGTTCATGCTCTAGGATGTCTGAGATAGGTGAAGACAGGAGCAGGAAAGAAAACGACGGTGCCAAGGACCTCAGGAGCCAGCCGCCTGCTGGAGCACCCACCCTGGTGAGCAGTCAGCTGTGCTCCGAAACAGGCATCTTATAGGCTCCATGTAGACTTAACGCATATGTGTGTCTCTGCAGATGTAATTTCATGTCAGAACTTTGTAACAAAAACTGATCTGAAAGGGATTCATGGGAATAGGCCCTAAGAAGCATTATACATTCCTTAAAACTCTTAAATGGGCCCAAAATATTAATTCTTGATTTATAGGAGACAGCTTCAAGAGGTACATGAAAAGTGTGTTTAATGAAAAAGCTACATGTGAATTTCAAAAGTTTTTGCAGCAAAATAAACTAGTACTTGAATTCTATTCTTCCAGAAAGTTTTTTAAGTCCTTTTGTGTATTTGATATAAGAAGAGAAATAGTGCTAGCCACTGTAGCTCTCTGTAACTGTTCTGTGAATATCTATTAAGAGTGTTTTCTGAATTTCTTGGTAACAGCAGGGTGACCATTTAATTGTATCGAGTTTCATGTATATCATAAGTTTATTTCCATTCCAAACATTTAAAGTTCATTGTGGTTATGTGTTGTTCTGATTGAAATCTCCCTGAAAGGTGGCAGAGGACTCAATTTAGGCACAGGTACCAACCAAGTTATTAGGTCACTTAGCTAGTTAAGGGGGAGACGCATTGAATCTGCCATTCCCAAACAGGGAGAATCACTTGCAAACTTTGAGGATGCTGGCACACTTGAGATATTGGTTATGGAGTTTGGAAAAGTCTAGGTTTTTAATCTTGAGAAAGTACTATTATACTCTGAGTGAAGACTCTTTTTATTTATTTATTTGTTTGTTTGTTTATTTTTAAATGAGCAATGGCAGGTTTGGAATCAGGTTATATCTATAAGATAAAACATAGACACTTTCTACACCTTTCCTTAATATTTTGAAAAACTTTCATTTTACTTAAATTTTATTTCTGTTACATTTCCAAATATCCAGTAAAAATCTGTACTCAACTTCACAACAGTTATTATATTCATAAATGTATCATTACATATGCTATTTGAATCCAAAAGTTTATGGTACCTATTTTATTCTCTTATATTTAATTTTATAATTCGTTCTGAAATAATCTAATTGCAGAGTTGATCAATGTTTATTGATGATATATTCCCAAATAGGATTTTTTATAGCTCCTCTTTAAACCTTCATTTTTAGGTCTGATCTGTTGGAGGTGGCAACCTCCTGGGAAGGACATCAGCCTCCTTCCTGTGGGTAACTTCCTAAGAAATAGAAGCCCTTATTCTGTAATGCAAAGCCTTCTTTCAAGTCCAGCCTGAGTGCTGGATTTGTCTCTGTTGTGGATAACTTCCTGAGAAATAGAAGCCCTTGTTCTGTAATGCAAAGCCTTTCTCTCAGGTCCAGCCTGAGTGCTGGATTTGTCTCTATTGTGGATAACTTCCTGAGAAATAGAAGCCCTTGTTCTGTAAAGCAAAGCCTTCTCTCAGGTCCAGACTGAGTGCTGGAGGTGTCTCTGTTGTGACATGAGCTATGTCTCCCTTACTTAGAAGGAAGGAGCATAAATGCATGCACGTCTCTCAGCCCCTGACAAATTACCAACCTCTCTTGTAGGTTGATAAAGAGACAAATACTGATGAGACAGTGAGTGACAATGTGGCAGTTCGCCCCAAGGAGCGCAGTGGCCTGAACTCGCGGCAGCACCCCTTCGTGAGGAGCAGTGTGATCGTGCGCTCACAAACCTTCTCTCCCGGAGAGCGGAGCCAGTACATCTGCAGGGTAAGGGGCACAAGGCATGCGAAGCCTCCCTCCTGTGACAGAGGGGATGACAGGGGGCAGCGTGCTGAGAATCTTCACATGTGGGCCACGGAAACTGATGGCTAGAAATGCCTTCTAATATACATAGAATAAGAGCAGACGGTTCTTTATAGTTTGATTTCCCCTAAATTGAATGTCTCGTTGGCTCACATGTTGTTTATTGGGCAAGCAGTGAAGTTTAAGGATCTAGCTGCTCGTTATGTTCTGACTTCAGTGTGTTCTGAAACATACGGTGACTTTTGAGATATATATTTTATGTATTTTTGCTCAACATCACAAACTACTATAAACTACCTTAGTCCAGCTGAACTGATATTGTAAATTAGATTTTACATTAAAAAAAAAAATCTCTTCATATATATCTCTAGACACTGAATCAGATTCGTAGTTCTGTGAAGAAAATGTGGGATTTTATCAAATTTGTACCAAATTTTTACTTGAGAAATATTTGTGATTTGTAGTAAGATAGATTTATTGGGTTGTCAGGAAAGTTATGACACATTTTTTACATAGAGAAACAGAAAAATACATCATGACTTTCCCAGTAACCTAATAATATTATAAACTGGATTAGAAATACCTTAAAATGCTAAACATATTCATTTAATTCAACAAGTTTATTTGTTTGTTTGTTTGTTTTGTTTTGCCACAGGGCACGTGCACTTGCCAGAGAGAGAGGAAAGTAAGAAATCACTCCCCAGGGGGATAGCCATGCCACGATCCTTTCTCCTCTCAGGAGTTTGGCCATGCTTACAATACACCTGGCATGTTTTTCAGGGGTCTGGGACTATGTGGGATCTAACACCTTAACCACCAGCCCATCTGCTGGTCCAACAAATATCTTCTGTAAGCACCTGCTATCAAGCACTTTCCAGATCCTTTGATTTAGCCAGAAACTAGTGACACAGAACCCCCTGTCCTTGAAGAGCTCTCATCCTGTGAGTCAAGCCAGACCATAGTAAAATGGGTGGATGAGCCGTGCGGCACCTTAGGTGGGGGACCGCAGAGCAAGGAAGAGGAGTGGAAAGTGGTATGCAGGGTTCAGAGTGGGCTTCACTAATAAGGTTGCATTTCAGTAAGGACTTGAAACAGGTGAGGGAGTGAGCGGGCATGTGTGGGCCAAGAGCATTCCATGATAGAGAGCACAGACTGTCATAACGCCAGCCCGGAGCGCTGTACTTTGTGCAGTCTTTTTAAAGACATGAATATCACAGATTAACTGAAAGTACAAAGGATCATTTTGTTGCAAAAAATGTATAATTCTTGGGACCAGCAGATGGCATAATGGTAACATCACTGGATTCCCACATGACTGATCATGGTTCAAGTCCTGCATCTGGTGGCCTGAAACTCACACTAGGCACATGTGTGTGCATGTCCAAAATCCCAAGAGGAGAATAGAGGAGAAGGAATTGCAGGAAAAGGAGGAAAAGGAATTGAGAGATTACCCCCTCGGGGGGGGGGGGGGATTTCTCACTTTTTGTCTCTCTATCTCTCTCTGGAAAAAAACAAACAAACAAAAAGTATAATTCTTTTGACGTGACTTTTGATAACACTACCAAGAGGCAGTGACTAAAATTGCTTAAAAATTAAATTACTTAAAAGCATGAACAGGGAAAAACTTGTTTAGGGAAGACTTTCTTTAAAAAATAAACTCATATTGGGACCAGCAGTTAGCATAATGGCTATGTCGCTGGACTCCCATGTAGTCAACCGCAGTTCGCGTCCCTGACCCGGGGGCTTAAAACTCACGCCAGGCACGTGTGCGTGCGTGCCCAAGATCCCGAGAGGAGAATGAAGGAGAAGGGATTGTGGCGTGACCATCCCCCCCGGGGGGTGATTTCTCGCTTTCTGTCTCTATGTCTCTCTCTGTCTGTCTGGTGAGCACACACGCCCTATAGCAAAAACCTCTTTAAAAAAAATAATTAAATAAATAAATAAATAAACTCATACTATCACTACCTGCTTTGATAAGATGACTTCTAAACTTCCACCAGTGTAGTTTGTTATGCAGTGATTTTATTTTTTATTCTTTTTTTCCAGTTGAATCGAAGTGACAGTGACAGTTCCACCCTGGCGAAAAAGTCATTGTTTGTGAGAAACTCCACTGAACGGCGCAGTTTGAGGGTCAAAAGGGTATGTATTCCCTCGGCCACATCCCATTGTCCTGAACCAGCCCAGACCCGCGAATCGGAAAGCCCGAGTGCCAGAACTGTCGCATAGAGGTGCCCCCTGCTCTTGGGCTGTCGCAGGCAGCCACTGTGATTGTCACGTCGAGGGAGTCGTGTCCGTCTGTCACTGGCTCAGAGCCGTGACGGCTGAGGGGCATGTTCCGTCTCCACCAGTCCCTCTGGAGCAGGGCCTTGCTGAGCCCAGAGGCCCACGTTTCTATCCGTGGCTGCCATGTCTCCACACCACGTTTGCCCCTGAGCAGCCGTGGGAAAGTGTAAAACCCGACACCTTTCCTGAGGAGCAGACGTTCTGGTAAAGGAGGGACCCTCGGTTTTTGTAGCCCACTTAAACAGGGATTATTAGAAGATCAAATTAATGTGGGGGTGTTGGGCAGCTCAGGTCAGATTCTCCCAGAGGCTTTAGATCGCTGAATGAACTTTAAAAATAAATCGGAGAAGATGATTTAAGTCAATTAAAAGACTGGACAGTTCAAGAAATTAAAAAATTCCCTTTTATTACCAGTGGCTGAAATACTACAGGAAAGCTGTCTGATTCCTGCCTCATCCTGGCCCGAGGCGTGTTGTGTGCCTAGGACAGGGCACTGCCCACTGAGCTGCCGGCATGGCTGCTGCTTCAGGGGGCCACCATGTCGGCGAGGGCCGCAGGCGTGTGGGGAGGGGCTCGCAGCGTGTCCCGGTCACAGACGGACAGATCCCTGGTCGGGAGAGTCAGAGAGGCTTCGTGGGGAGGTCTGTGACCCTCCCTGGATAAAACTGCAAAAGAAAACAGTAACTCTGGGGCAGGGGAAGCGGGGGTGGGCAGTGGGTGCTGGGTGCTGTTGGTAGGTGGCTGAAAGGCCACAGGGGCAGGGAGTTGTGCACGGGAGGAGAGGAGGCCAGGTTCAGCCAGCATTAGGGAGGACGGGCGCGAAGACCGGGAAGGCAAGCAGGGGTCCTCGTGGCCACCAGTGCAAGCACCGGATGTGTGACTAGCGGCATTTGGCTCTCTGGCTTGACGTCCCAGGTACTCGAAAGTAATAAGTCATATTTCTCTGGACTAGAGGCAGATGGGCTGGCATTTATTTAGCATTCATTGTCTTCAGGAAACTCTCTAGATCTTCCAGAGAACTAAATCTGTACTTTAAAAGCCCATCCTGAAAATTCTTCTCAGCTCCGTCCTCAGTCCCTGCCTTCTTAAGCAGCCCATACTTTTAGAGGACGGTAGCACTCTTCAGAGAACGTTTACCCAGAAGTGTTTATGAGCTGACTGGAGCTAAACAACAGCTGGGTTACTGGTAAAACTTAGTTATTAGAACCACTTGAACTAGACAAGGTTAGTCCTGAAACATGGTATAGGTTTTTATTTTTTTAAAAAAAGAGAGATTTTTGCTATAGAGCACGTGCACTCACCAGAGAGACAGAGATAAACAGAGAGACAAAGCAAGAAATCATCCCCTAAGGGGGATGGCCACACCCTAATCCCTTCTCCATTCCCCTCTTGGGATTTGGGCATGCATGCATACACACCCGGCATGAGTTTAAGCCACTGGGCCCAGGACTCGAACTGTGGTTGACTACATGGGAGTCCAGCGAGGTAACCATTATGCTATCTGCTGGTCCCTAGGAGGTGGTTTTTAAACTAGACAGATACAGTTTGGCAGAAACGAGTGGGGAGGGGGGAAATGGATTCTAATGTAGCAAAAATAGCATGAAAACACTGTGCAGGTGTCAGAAAACCAACACAGCTGCAACGTTGGGCAGGGTTTGCCTAACCAGGAAAGCCACGTGCCAGGTGTGAGGGCTGAGGTCGAGGGCCTGTTGGCAGTGGTGCACTCATGAGAGCCAGTGATGCCTCTTCCCAGTTCAGCACCACACTGATAGCTTAGAAGGGGTCACAGTGGGGGTGTCCCCACCACAGCAGTTGACAAGCCCTACATATGAGTGCCCCACCCCCCAGAGCAGTTACTAAACCTTTCCCAGCACTCCAGTGCACATGGCAGCCCTTAGAAAGGCTCCTTGTGGCCGATAACTAGGAAGGACTTCCGGTTCTGAAAAACCAGTAATACAGTCCAAGAGAACGCGTCTAGATGTTCGTACTGTGTGGTGCACTTGTTAGAGCGGGCAGAGGTCGAATAAAAGGAGCCTGATACGCGTGTTACAGACCAGTCCCTACATTTTTAGTGAACATGCAATATTCGGTCAACAAGGAGGAAGAAGAATAGGCGACAGTAAAAGCTATTCCAGCTTGGCCTGAGCTCTGAAATAAGAGGAGGGACAGACAGACGCTCTCCCGTCCATCTGTCATGAGCTCCACCAGTGTTCCAGATCCCCAAACTAGAGCTCTTGTCAGCTTGAATCCCTCCTCCCCTCTATCAGATGGTGTCAATTTTTATTAGTCATCCGTATTTTCCATTCCCACTGCCAACAGTCTAGGCAAGAAATACTCTTCCTTGTTCCCCTCTCTGCCTAGGTAGTCTTACTCAGGCTAGTTTAAATTCTTTATCGTTATGATTATTATTATTCGTTTACATTTAATCACTATATATCTTTACAGTCTACAACATTGCTTTTTCCAGCACAAATGAGGTACATATCAGTCAAGAAAAAGACATTATCATATACATTGTCATCAGCAAATAACTTTTCATTTCTGTGTCAGTTAAATGTATTTTTCCCCTGGTCCCCTCCCTCCCTCCATCTATTATCAACCCCCTACTCCCCCCACCCCCTGCAATACTATCTCTAGTATTTACAGTTGCCCTCCCTGCTACTCCACCTTCCAGACTCAGTTTCTGCTGTAGAGCACTGGCATTTGGTACATATCGAGTAGGGACATACTGTTCTTTTCCTCAAGGGAGCCTGACCTGGCCCTCACTGCTTGGTCCTCCCCTGATGTCCTGTGGTACTGAGGGCTCATTCGTAGTAACTGCTGCTGACTGTTTCGTGCCACTCTCTCGTCAAAGCCTTCAAGGTCAAAGGTTGTGTCTTCTCTTCCTAGTGTTTGCATGCAACCTCCCAGCAGATAATTGTTCATACATTTTCAATAATGAGTGCTTGATAAATGAGTAAGATTGGTCCTAGGAGAAAGCAGCCATTCAGCTTTGAAAGCAGAGCACACACTGGGAAATCGGGGAAGGAGGTGGGAGTGTGTGTATTGGTTAGAGGAGGGAGGCAGGCCCGTAGCCCCACTGACCAGCTGTGTTCTGGCCACGCTCACCTAAGTGGTAGCAAGATCCAGAGCTACAGGATATAGCTGGTGTCCTGAAATGAAGGAAATGTTAGTTTGTCGTTGTGGATAAGGGAACTTCAGAAAGTTTATGGAAAATGGAATTGAAGTATGAGTTCTTTTGGGTGTAAAAAAAAAAGTGCCATTTAAGCATCATTTTTCATAACACACATTTTTAAAAACTTACTTATTGAGAGAGGGTGGGATTTCCAGCAAGATCTTCACGCCACTGTGCAACTCCAGCCTAAGCCAGACTGAACCATGGGGACGTACGTACGTACCCTACATGGATAGGAAGGCCTCGGGATGCGAACCCAGGACTTCCTCACGTGGACCCATCACTGCAGAGGGTTGCAACACAGCTGTACCACAACAGCTGTCCCTGTAATACCCGCTTCTCATGAACTTTCTTTTTCCACATGAGACAGGCTTCGTGTAGTAAATTGGTCAGGCTAGGCCATACTGTGGTAATAACTTTGAAAGTCTCTGGTTCAAAACGATAAGGGTGTTTTTTTTTTTTCTTAGTTACTTGTTTGTCTACGTGGGCCAGAGGCCCTGCTCCTCATTCCCACTTGGGACCTAGGCAGAGGGAGCCCATCCTGTGGGTCTTTGCTGTCCCTCGAGCAGGGGACAGGAACGTGCAGGCTTCGCTCCCACACTCTGGCCTCGAAGGCTTTGCCTGGGAGTGATGCACGTCCTCCTCCTCCTCCTCACCTTTCCTTGGCCAGAGCAAGTCACTTGGCTGGTGATGGCCTTACCTCCGGGGAGCAAGGAAGTGCAATCCTGTCGTGTGCTTGAGAGGAGGGAGGGCAGGACGATGGCTGTCCCTGTGATGACGGTGTGTCGTCATCTTGTTTTCTAACCCTCCAGACGGTTTGCCAGCCAGTCCTTAGAAGGGCAGCACAAGAATGCCCCGTGCGTACATCTCTCGACCTAGAACTGGATCTGCAGGCGTCCCTCACCCGGCAGAGCCGCCTCAATGATGAGCTGCAGGCCTTGAGGGGCTTACGGCAAAAGCTGGAGGAACTGAAAGCTCAGGGAGAGACCGACCTTCCCCCCGGCGTGCTGGAGGACGAGCGGTTCCAGACGCTCCTGAAACAAGCTGAGAAGCAGGTACAGAGCTGGGTGTCTCCTCACCCCTTAGGGGCTCGTCCAGAGTTCACCTTTGGAAAAGTCTGCCAGGTAAGGCTGGCCCATGGCCTAGCGATTAAGGGAGCCAGATCCCATGAGGCCCACAGTGTGGTTCAAGCCCCAGCCCCAGCTGGAAAAATCAAGAGTGCGTGTGCGCACGCACAGAATCTCAGTGGAAGGAAGAACTGGAGAAGGGATTGCAGCGTGACCATGCCCACTGCAGGGTGCTTTCTCCCTCTCCTTCTTTCTCTGTCTCTCTCGGGCAAGTTTAAGTGCCTGTTGGCAAAAAAAAACTAACAGTCTGCAAAGCCAGCAGGTGGCATGGTAGTTAAGGCAGCTGGATTCCCACATGGCCAACCATGATTCGAGTCCTGGATCTAGTGATTCGGAGATCACACTGGACATGTGTGCGTGCGTGCCCAAGATCCCAAGAGGAGTGTGGGGAGAAGAGACTGTGGTGTGGCCACCCCCAGGGGCTGATTTCCTACTTCCCTCCCTCTGTCTGTCTCTTTCTGAAACTGCACATGTCCTTGGCAAAATTTTAAAATAAATAAGTTTGTGACGCAGATAGTTCTAAAGTTACACCTCAGTTTTGCTCAAAACTTGAGAGTCTTTTTTCTAAAACTTGGAACACGTCTCCCCCTGCTATTAAACTTTTTTAAACCCAGAATATTACGTAACTAGTGGTGCTGCCACCCAGCACACAGCATTGTGACCGTTGGCCACCTGGCAGGCTGCCTCCCTGCAGGGTGGAATATGGGGCTGAAAGCTGGAGTGACCGACTCTCCAGGTTGTAACCTCAGTCATAGTAATTAACGTCATTGTCACACTCCTGGAGCTATTCATTCAACGTTGGCAATAACTTGGAACTCTTGACCAACTTTATTACGGAGAAATTTCTCAGCCTTTTGACCCTCATAGGTCACAGGCTTTGTTCAAAGCTGCACTGGAATTTTACCACCATAGATAAAAACAGAATTTGGCATCGCTGGGTTCCGTTGTTTGTTTGTTTCCTGTTTCTCAGGCTATGAAATTCTAGATCTTTAGGTATCAATAATTACAAAACTCTGGGACTTACTTTCCTTCCTCTCTCAATGTCATAATGCTATGATTCATCTATAAACTGTGTGTTACTGCAGTTTGTTTTCACTGCTGTCTAATCTCCATTATGTGCAGAGAACCTTGAAAGCTGAAAGCAAAAAAGTTAGGTCTTTGAGAAAACTTCAAAAAAAAAAAAAAAAAAAAAGACTCAGGGCGACCCATTTTCCATGACCCTTCCCTTCTTGGGAGTTCTCTTTTTCCTCCCTTCTCTTTTAATAAATTCCTAACTTAGCTATACCAAAAAAAAAAAAAAAAAAAAAAAAAGACGATGACTCTGGTAAGGTTAATAAGGAGAGGATAGAAAATAGAGTATTATAAAAGTAAAGAGGACCAGAACTAGGGGCCAGTATATGGCATGGTGGCTAAGGACGCTGGATTCCCACATGGCTGACTGAGGTTTGAGTCCTAGACCTGGCAGCTTGCTTTCGCACTTTCTCTTTCTCTCTCTCACTCTGCCCCCTCTGATCAAATTAAATAAATAAATACAGTCAAGTAAAATAATTCTTAAAAAAAAAAAAAAGAACAGAACTATAGGTGATTTTTGAGAATTAAAATATAATTGAATCCTATTAAATATAAACGCCTAAAATTTGGACAGATACCTAGGACCGCATAACATGTTACAACTGATGAAAGAAGGAAGAGAGACCAGATGGTGGCATGGCAGTAATGCAGCCAACCACACCAGGAGATCCCAGGTTTATGTTAAGATGCCCCCTGTACTTGTTTGACACGTGTGGCTGTGATCCAAGCTGGTGAGACTCGGGGTGGAACACAACCTAAAGACCCTGTGGGGGTTCCTTTCTCTCTCTATCTCTGATGGAAAAAAAAAAAATGAACTTAAAAAAGGGAGTGTTGTTACTGGTAAAGAAATGGGAGCAGCAATTAAAATTTACCCACAAAGCATAAGGTCTGTATATTTTATAGACAAGTTCTACCAAATTTTAAAAAATTATTTAATTAAGTTTATTATTATTATTTTTAATTTGACCAGAGAGAGACACACAGAGAGAGAAAGAGAAAGTGAGAGAGCAAGCCACCAGGTCCGAGACTCAAACCACAGTTGGCCATGTGGGAGTCCAGTACCTTAATCACCATGCCATCTGCTGGCCCCATCCACCAGATTTTTAAAGAACAAGTTACCTCAGCTTTATACAAGATCTTAAACACACTTGGAAAAGACAGAACATTTCTTATACATACTATGTGGCCCATATCCCTGAGACCAAAACCAGGTAAAGATACTATCAAAAAGGAAAATCACACACCAGTTTAATTTTTAGGTATAGATACAAAAACCCTAACTAAAATACTAGTTAATAGAAATCAGCAAGATAATAAACCCAAATGTTCACGAACAGATGAATGAATTAAAAGTGTGGCACATGTGGAATACTACTCGCCTTAAAAAAACAAGATCCTGGCATTTGATAGAAAGTGGACGAATATGAAAGATTTACTGCTGAATGAAGCACGCCAGGCTATGAAAGAGAGACATTGTATGTCTCCATTTCATATAAACCTACTGTCTACACTCTATGGTGAAAACAGAAAGAGTAGAGGATACAGAAACATGAAAAGTGGTTATAGATCCTGAACACAGTGTGGGGATACGGTGAAGAAGAGGGAAAGTATGAGGAAAGAAATTGAGAAAAAATAGAGAGGCGAGACATTTATGGGACACAGAAATAGATTTTTGTTGATGATAACGTGTATGGTATCTTCAACAGAACTGGTGTGAGGTGTATTCATGTTGGGTAAATTTACTTTAAAGCTAAGTGATGTATTATAATTGCATAGTTGAAACAATTTTTTTTAAAAAAAGAAAACTTAAAAACAAAAATCAACAAAATAGATTTTTTTTTGGAGAGAGTTTTTGCTATAGGGCGCGTGCACTCGCCAGACAGACAGACAGAGACAGAGAGACAGAAAGCAAGAAATCACCCCCCAGGGGGGATGGCCACGCCGCAGTCCCTTCTCCATTCTCCTCTCGGGATCTTGGGCACACACGCACACGTGCCCGGCATGAGTTTAAGCCACCGTGGTCGACTACATGGAAGTCCAGCGACGCAGCCATTACGCTAACTGCTAGTCCCCAAAATAGATGTTTTTAAAGTATATTTCTATCGTTGAAGGCAGATAAGATGGTTGTATACACTTAAGAAATCTGAAAGTTGTTACAAATAAGAAAGTTTAGCAAGAGGGGTAAATGAAAGAATGATATATATGTCGTATTTCTGTATACTGATCTGAAACAGCTAGAAAGTTTAATTATTAATATTCACAATAGTATTGAAGAATATCCAGTATCAAGTAATATATTGGACAAAAAGGTACAGTACAGTATGGAGAAAGTTGTAGCACTTTATGAGCAGAAATGTAAAAGTGCATATATGTATGTATATACCACCTTCATATAGAACAGCATCGGCAGACTTACCCTGTAAAGGGCCAGGTCAGTAAACATTTTAGGCTTTGGGGGCTATAACATCTTAGTCTCAGTTGCTGCTGCTTAACTCTGCCACTGTAGAAAAGCAGTCAGCATAAGCTCTAACTAAATGGCTGCGGCTGTGGTCTTATAAAACTTTATTTAGAGTAGAAGCACAGCAAGGAAGGAGGTTCCTAGGAAGCGTGCAGCTTACCTGCTTCCTGTGGCCAGCCCTCCTAAGCCTTGCAAAAAAGCGCATCACAGTTGTCGCTCTGAGAGAAGACAGAACAAAGGATGATTGTATCCATGTGCATCTGAGGGTTCCAGGCAATCTCATGCCACACTTTGGCCTCGACAGGAAGGCCCGTGACTTGGGCCCGAGAAGAGATGTGAGGAGGGACACTCATTGCAGCTTCATGAAGCCCAGCAGACCCCTGCCACACAGGCAGCAGGGAAGGGCAAGAAAATTTGAGCCGACATGGCAGAGGAGTGTGATTCAGAGTGAGATGTTTTTCTGATTCTCATGGAGAAAATCCCAGCTTAAGTAAACATATAACTAAATAATCAAGAGCCATTACAAGCTAAGATAGTTGTCTGGCTCATTTGCATTCAGCTTTCTCAATACCATTGCTGTTGTTTACGTAAATTGTTACTGTGAAGATCACGCGGAGATGCTGTTAGCAGTTCAGTGTAAACTCCTTTGTCAGAGGAGAAGGGCTCATATTTTTGCATAGAAAAATATGTCATGACTTTCCCGACAACCTAATACAAAACACTATTTTTTTGCACAATCCAGAGCCCATACCAGCTAGCTAGTCTAAGTGATCACCAGTGAAAGAGTCATTGTTACATGCTGCAGGTCCCTGTGTAAGATCTCAGTGAAAATGAAGAGTCTAACAGCAAGGTCAGGAGCTCTGTGCACACTGATGGGACCGGACTCACAGTTCCTGCCGATTAGGCTGGCTCTGCTGTCCCATTGCCCTCCTTCATTTCTTTTCTTTGCAACTCCTTCCTTTTTCTCACTGATATCAAATAAATACATGAAAACAAATTAGTCTTATAAAATGTCATGAAAGTCTGCATATCTTAGCTGTTTTTTTTTTTTCATGTCCTAGTAGGATTTCATATACCTATCTATAAAATAGGAGGATCGGATTAGAAGGCCACCAAAATCTTTTCTAGCTGCAAGGTGTTGTGATCTATTTGAGAGCAAATCAAATGTGTTTTCAATGTGAAGATTTAAAGAAATTTGTGGAAGTTGAAGCCCACATGGCTTAAAAGAATCCAGCCTATACGGTGTACACAGTACTCTGATAATTCTGAAGACCAAGGTGAGATGTGATTGCTGGAAGCTTTTCCAAGTTAGGACATTCACAGTGCTGTCTTTTGCAGGTTACGTAAAGTAGATTTTTGACCATGCTGTAGCAAACAACGCTCTTCACTTCTCTGTGCT